TAAGAAAGGGATTAGCTTGCTGCTTCAGGGCGTGGACTTATCTGGAATGTTTTACAAATGGTTGCTACAAAACAACAAAAAAGGTAATTACAAAATGTGTTTATCACTGCATGCTTTTAAAGACATTATGCATTGTGCTCACATTCCCTTAAATGTTGTTTCCAAAGGTGCTCAGCCTCTATCCCAGCTGGAATCTCCGGGAAGAGGCAGAGACAGTTTGGCGAATAAGACACAGGGGAAGAGGGGGCAGCGAAAGAGAAAGCAGCCTTCCAGTTAAAGATCAGCCCTCAGTTAAAGGTCAGCTTCGGGCAGGCTGGCCTCAGGCGGAGTCAGGGTCAGAGGGAGAAGCAGCAGCAGGGTGGGACTGGGGCGTTCTACATCTCATTCAGGTCGGGGGCGTTCTACATCTCATTCAGGTCAAGCAGAGTCTGGTCCAGCATCCTTTGTGTACAGAGGTGCTCCTCTTTGGTGCATTTCAGTTTATCTTCCAAGTCATCAATTGTCTTTTCCAGCTTGGCTACCGATCTCTCAGCAAACTCAGCACGGGTCTCTGCCTCCTTGAGTTTATTAGTAAGAATCTTGATCTTTTCCTCATATTTGTCTTCTTTTTGAGAGTACTTTTCTTCAGCAGCACTCAGACACTTCAGGTTCTGGTCCATCAGTCTGATCTGCTCATCCATCTCTCGGCAACGGGACTCTGCCAGCTCAGCTCGTTCCTCTGTGCGTTCCAAGTCTCCTTCAATGATCACCAACTTACGCGCCACCTCTTCATACTTCCTATCTGCCTCTTCTCCAATGTGCTTAGCTTCTTTGAGTTGGATTTCCTGGAGTTCCATCTTCTCTTCATCTTTTAAGGCCTGGTTTTCAATAACCTTCATACCTCTCTCACTCTCATCAGCAGCTTTTTCAGCTTCTTCCAGCTTTTGCAGGGCAGTGGCCAGGCGCTCCTGAGCACGGTCCAGCTCCTCTTCAACCAGCTGGATCCTACGGTTCAAGGAGGCCACCTCAGCCTCAGCCTGTTCCCGGGCCCGCCTTTCTCCCTCAACTTCTCGCTGGAGGCGCTCAGCTCGCTCCTCTGCATCATCTGCCTGCTGCTGCAGAACCTGGATCTTGCGCTTCACCGCCTCGATGGTGGTGATCCCAGCCATGGTGCCCACCCAGCTACTGCTCGCGCTCTGGCTCCTGCCTCCTCCGCGTGGCTATGCAGCCTCCTCTCACAACTCGATAATTCTTAAACATATCTTATGCCCTTTAATTTGACTTTATTACACATACTTTTGATTATCAGCATTTTCAGTTTCCCAGATAGCTTTATGCTTATAAGGGATACTGCAGATTAATATAAATTTCTTGATATGGAATAGGTGCTGTTACATTGAAGACTAAGAAAGCTGATCATAAGTATTTACCTACACCTGTAATTACATGTGTGTGTGTGTGTGTGTGTGTATATATATATATATATAGAGAGAGAGAGAGAGAGAGAGGGAGAGAGAGAGAGAGAGAGAACTATACTAGTCACATATAATAATAGTGTTTTGTGAGCCTAATGGTCAGTCTGTCACTCTAAAATGTCTGGTTCTTCCTGTTAAAAGTAAAACTTTGATGCCACAAAAGAAATAGCACTCAAAGATAATGCCCTCTCAGCAAGACAGTTTATAGAAAGATGCAGAGCACACCGACGGAGCAATGAGCAATGATGGCCGCTGCACGCTTGGACAAGGGGGAAAGTACTTATGCCTCACGGGGTCATCCCTACTGCTGTGTCGTCCCCTATTGGCTAGGGTTAGACCACAGAAACTAGACTAATCCTGATTGGCTATTTTAAAAAGAGCAGGGGTCCAGGCTGGAGTGGCAGGTTGGATGTTTTGGAGGGAAGGACAGTTACTGGCATGTCAGAGCAGGTAGCCAGGGGTAATCAGGTGACTCGGATGAATCAGGATGGAGCCTGGGGAAGGGGGAGCAGATGTGTACTACTGATGAAATAGTAGAGAAGGTTGTTTACTGGAATTAATCAGTATGTCAGTATGTTCAGCTCTCTTATTCCTTAAATCTCTATTTTAAAGGAATTTAAGCTTTAAAATAAAGATTTAAAGAATAAGAGAGCTGAACATACTGACATGCTGATTCTTTGAAGAGAAACTTGGGGTTCACTATAACATGCACCAATGACTTTGAATCTCGAGATAAAGGCAGTGACTCCTTTGCTGTGCCCTTGTTCCTTGCTGAGGAAGCTGCAGCTCTGAAGGAGTTAACAGTCAGATGTAGGCCACGAGCTGATTATGAGCATTCCCCGGGATTTAGTTATTTTGTCTGGGAAGGGCTAACCAGTTCCTGGGATGTATACTTGAATTTCTGTGCTCAGCTCGTGAAATATTTCATTTGTCACATTTAATTATAGTAGTCCTCCCTTATTTGAAGGGGGTATGTTCTGAAATCATGGCTAATACTCCACCCAATTGCTGTCAATTGGAACACATTTCTGTTTCTCTTCCACTCACAAATTTAATGTACTTTCCATCTTAACTAAGCTTTTATTATGCTCTGTGGCTATAACTTTTGCAGTTTGAGGTATGACAGCAAAACTAGCACATATTTTTCTCTTTCTTTGAAATTTCATGGATAAAGGATTTATTCTTACTTAGATCTTAGCAACCACAGCATACAATTTTTCTTGAAGTTTAACCTTTACCCTTTCACTTAAAGGAAGCATTTTACAGCTTCTTTTTTGGCATATCCAAGTTGCCAACGCCACTACTCTTGTGCTGTGGGGCCATTATTAAGTAAATGAGGGCTACTTCAACACAAGAACAGCAAATACTGCAACAGTCTATGTGATCACCATCACAGCTACTGAGTGATTAACAGGAGAGTAGTATATGCAGTGTAGACATGCTAGTCAAACGGAAGATTCACATCCTGGGCAGGATGGAGTGGGATGGTGGGAGTTTATCACGTTACTCAGAATGGTGCATAACTTAAAACTCATGAATTTTATATTTCCGGAATTTTCTATTTAATATTTGTGGACTGCAGTTGACTGGGTAATTGAAACTACAGAAGGTGAAACTGCAGATTGTGGCGGGGGAGTTACTATATGTCATAAATTAGCCTTATATTTAAAGGCAGTGTTTTCTTTTGATACTCTTGATATATTAAATGTGATTATCTAATCCAGATTTAAGTATATATAAAATGAAAAGCAAACAAAGAAATACAACTTGATAAGTGATTACAACTTTATTTTTATTTATCTTATCCTGATAAGAATTGCCAATTAATGAGATTTCAGAAAATCAGCAAATTAAATTTCAGATTCAGAACATGAAAATATTTGCAGATCATTGTCTCCTATACAGTATCTTTTTGCTTTACAATAATGTGTCTCATTAATGAATTCTTGGCCTTAGACTTTTTCTAATCACCAAAATGTTTGAAACCCGGGTTTGTTGTGATGCAGGAAAAAGATCAATCTCTCTTTAGTATGCTAAAAAATGTTGGCTACTAAAGGAAAGCAATCTAATGTGTTTGAAAGTCTTATCAGCATTGTCTTTAGCATTAAAGAGCTGTAAGATGCTTTAATATAATGTCTCTATTAGAAATGATATGTTCCTCATTTGCAAAAAATCGCATCTACCTTTTTTTCTTTATCTTGTAAGCCTTTATAGGTAAGGGACTTGTCTTACTCATTTTTTATCATCAGTGTCTGATAATAGGTGAGATATACACTTGCCAAATTTGAGCTGTATATGTGGCAAGAAACACACTCATTGTAAGCTATCTGACAGCATTTGCAAGACTCAAAGAACTGGTCCGATGGTGGCCTGGGAGTAGCGTCCTCTATACTGCTTGATTGCTATGCTAGGTTGCTAGTCCAGAAACAAAGCAAAACCCATAATAAACAATGATTCCCAGAGCTAAAATAATGAATAAAAAGAAGTAATCTCCAAATAGAACCAAGTTAAAATATGTAATGGATTGAAAAGCCAAAGAGATCTAGAAGAGAGTAGTTAGAAAAATTCACACATCAATAAGTGACCACCTATATTCTGGCATTAGTATGGGCCTGCAGGAGTTTCAGATATTTAAAACTACAGAAAGCAAAATGGACCATATCCACCTTTATGTGTTATTTCATTACGACTTTATTAGTCTGGGCTCTAGAGGATATCAAACGTAATTGAATTTCCTGAGTAGTTGAGGAGTTTACCAAAGGGAGCCTTTTCAATGGAATAGTCACGGCTGAGGGAAAACAGGAGTAATAAAGAACCCTGGAGTTTGTAATGGAGACAGTAACCAGCCCCAGGTCTGAAGGAGTGAGGGGAGGGAGCTGTTACCAGGACCTGGAAGAAAGCTTTATGGAGGGAGTTATCCAGTGGGCTGTAACTACTCAGGGAGGGAGCCAGAGGAATATAAATACCAATATTTTCCCCTCACCCCATCCTCCTGATGGTGCCTCCCATTGGGGGAACCTAGTCAGAGTGGCTGAACCCAATCAAAGGGATTTTTCAGAGTAAAATCAAAGGTCTCCAGAGTAGCCTGCAAGGTACCATGTGATCAGACGCTCTTTGACGTCCCCAGCGTCACTCTACCCGGTCTTTTTTTTTTGCTCACTTCTCTTCCTTTCCTGGCCTCAGCATCCCTCCAACATACCCACACATGCCACCTCCTGCCTTTGCTCTGGCCTTCCTTCTTCTCAAACTCTTCTTCCAGACATCTACATGGCTCTGCAGTGGAGTTGAATTTGCGGGAATAGAATTGTGGGGACCTAGCCAGTTATTAGGAGTAAATTAAAAACTCAGAAGGCATTGTGTGTGTTGAGAGTAATGGGGAGACAGCCCTAGAACAACAGAATCCTTAGGCATCTTGTGACCTCTAGTGGACACACATATTTGTAACTTGCAGGGAATTCTAGCTCAAAAGTACACTCTTGAAAATACTTAGGTTACTTAGACATTAGTTTTCTTTTGAATCAAGTGAGAATAAGTCATGCGGCTATTTCTTTTATATCCATGGTGGATGGGAAATCTTATCAGATTCAGCATTTGGAGTCTAGGGCTGCAAAACAAGTTGAGTAGGAGGTTCACAGTTACCTGTTACGTGGACACTCTGAGGTGTTTGTTGTGTCAGGAGTGCCTGGGGGAGGAAAGAGGCTTGGAAATAAAATTCTGAGAATTGGGAAGGAATCAGCTGAGCTGGATTGGTCACTTGTGGGTGTGAGGAATGAGGGTGAAGAGTGGAATGAAGTTGGGAGAAAAGGTGGTATAGGGAGACGTGTCAGTGATTTGTCAGATACTTAACACCTCTCCAGATCAAATAAGTGGGTGTCACTAGTGCTCCTTAATTTTCCCCAACCAACTTTTTTTTATATTCCATCACCAAAGCCAAAATTCTGGAGTGAGTCTGCAGCTACATCAGGATGGACAACAAGTCTTATGAATTATTCCCTCCTAAGACCCTCTTGGTTTCTCCCTTCTCCATTCCCATTCCCGCTGCTTTAGTTCAGACTCTCATCATTGCTTGTTTGGGCTATTTTGAGCCTCTTCACTGATCTCCCTGCCTTTCATCTTTCAACCTTTCCAACTAATCATATTGTTACTTTTCCACTTAAAACTTTTTACAGGGCCTTTCTATTCTACAAGGTGAAATCCCATAGGGCTGATCACAACCGGCCCTGCCTCCTGCCCCTCCTGCATGCTGTTGCTCTCAGTCCATATTCCAGGCGCACTCAACATGTAGTTTCCTGAGTGCATCTTTGCAAAGCTGTCCATCTGCCTGTTTCTCTCCACACCTCTACCTCACAGTCTGCTCTCAAACTGTTCTCTTTTTTCTTATGTCTGTTCAAGTGCCACCTCCTGTAAGACTTTTTCTGCTCTCTTTCTCAACAGTTGGGTTCTCCATCTTCAGTGTTATCATACTTAGTGCATAATTCCCTTAGCATGTCTCTCCTTTTGTTGTAATTATAGGTTACGTGTTTATTTTCTCAGCTTCAAAGCTGCTGAGGACCAGGGCTTATTTATGGTTGTAGCCTCAGAGCCTGACACAGGAATAGAATAAGCATTCAGTAAGGGAGTCTTAGATGAATGTACTGTGTAGATGACACAAGCTCTGTAGGGAAGGAACCAGCAGAGCACTAAAAGAATTAGGAGGAAGAGATTGTAAATAAAGACTTCTATTTCTAGCACTCTGGTCCTTGTCACTACATTTCTATCTCAAAAGGCTTTATTGAAGACTAGTA